ACTCAACACACTGCAGTTAACAAAACACAAAGAAGCAAAAGTTTTATCAATTTGATGACAAAACGGTGATGATAAAGTGATAAAAAATACAGAAAATACTGATAAAATTTGAAAGAAAAAATGAATACCGTCATAGTTCTGTCTTTTCAAATTGCAGCGACTGTCGGAACTTTTTATTCCACAGTGACATGAACAAGATGTTGTGCTGTCAAGGCAGTGACAAATAAAAAAGATCAACTTAAAGTTTTTGTTTGTTCAGGGAATATAATGCAACATGTTAGACGACGAGGCAAAACGATTTTTTTTTTGTAACAATCGGCGATCTGCTGCTTTTATGGCCACTTTCACTGTCTTGGACACAATGAGCGATCTCTGTAGCAGCGGAATAATCAATGCATACAGTATGTGTGGGAAGGATGCTTGAAATGCACTTATACATACTGTTTGCTTTTGAGAGAAAGAAAGTGGTTTCCTAGCCTTGAAAGCAATACCGAACAACAGCTAGCAGCTGGGATGCTTGCTCGCAGAGAACAAAGAAGCGCCTGGCAGTGTGGTTTTTCTACCAGGTTCAGAAATGGATGCCGAAAGGGACATTTTTTTCTCAGGAATGGCATGTCTCCTTGTATTAGTTGGCTGAGTTGCAGGACAGCACATCAAACAGCTCATCGTGATTCACTCTGCACTGCAAAAACACGTCCATCTTTACAAGCCACTTCAACTAACACTTGCTATTTTTCAAGTAAGACGATTATTTAGACCAAAAAAAGAGAGTATTTATGATTGTCCTGACAATCACCTTCCTCAGTGAGATGCGCTTCCTAACTTTATCACGAGAAGTGTAGCATAAATCAGGTTTCATATTATATTATTCACTTTCATCGTGACTGTTCAGCATTTCGAGGGCACCTTTTCACCTATGCACTCACATCTCTCCCCCCTGCTTGTCAATCTCCTCTTGCCGTTTCATATTTCGTGCGGGAGCTATGACTAAACCGACGGCTCGTGTTAATACAGCATTCTGTATGAGTGATATATCTGCACCTCCTCCTCCTCCTCCTCCTCCTCCTCCTCCTCTCCTGCTCATCTTCCTCCTCATTCTTTTCTCACACCTCCTCGCTGCGATGACAAAAAAGCCCGGCCGACAGCAGTAAAGATGACAAACAACTCTGTCATCTCGTGGTAATGCTGCAAATGAAAGCAAAAGGAAGCAGGAGCTTTGTAATGAGCGCCGTAAAAGTGTGAGATATGCCCTGAAAGTGGAATGTATGTGTACAAACCACACAAAAACAAAACGTGATGCTGATTTCAAATATTACATTTTAACTCTCTCGCTTTTCTTTTTCTGTTTAAACAGGCTTATTCATGACATTTATGTACGTACAGTTTCAGGAAGTGTAGTAAAAACACAGTAGATGCTCCACTGCATCGACTGCCATCAATCAGCTGAGCCTTTTTATCTGACAGGAAATACATTCAGGAGCAACCTGCAGTCCTACGGCAGCATGCCATCGCTTTATTCCCACATGAATCCTCTCTTGCAGTCAGTATGCTGCAATTAGCATTGAATAGTGGGTGACAGTGTCCCACGCACGCACAACTTTCAAATGCCAAGTGGCAACAACAGATAGCCTGACTGTCTCAGTGATGCAATAGCCAGCGGACATCTGGGAATGTCGAGTCTCTGAGCGTGGAAGGCAAAGGAGGAGGGAGGGAGGGCATGTAGATTTGGTGCGAGAAAGGGTGAGGGTTGAGTGGGGAGGAGGATGATGGTCGCAGACAGATGATGCTGGCAAGGTTGAAGGTTGAGGGAGCAGAGCACAGGGCGCCAACAGGGACGCTGCGAAGGCGGAGAACGCAGAGATGGATGAATAAAAAAAGCTGTCCCAGAGACGGAGAAGGGGGTGGGTGGGGTGGAGGGGAGTGTGGACGATGCAGTCTGTCAGGTCTCCAATCTGTCAGCGGAGTGCTTCTGGTCCCCTCAGGCCCAACAACACGGCACTGCCTCGGTTTGCTCTCACCAAACCCTGTCCTTATGCACCCTCGTGTCCCCGGCAGTGCACTTCACTGCGCACTGATTTGGCCTCCGGGATCGAATAGATTGTTGTCATTTCCTGGACCGGACTTAGCGTATTTATCGCGCTAAATTACATGTGAAGTTTGGCATTATGCAGATGGTGATTAAAGTCAATTTTTTTTAGATTATATTATGCAGATTTTTTTGTAATCGAAGCCTTGTAGCATTATTTTGGTGTCAGATCCACTAAATGTCCAATAGGTTCTTTTTAAAAGTGGAGCTGCACTGACATCTGCTGGAAGAAATGCAGCATTGCAAGAAATTTTTAGATTTTTTTTTTTTCAATTGTTGGCTACATTCAAAGTGTACAACAGTGTCATGACAGGACACATTTTTTAAAAATCAGCCTCTGCAGGATACTACTACTGATATTCACCACATATGGAGCAAAAACACATACGCTTCTGAAGCGTCTTAAAGCCAAATATACTCCATTTTTTTCTTTAGTTTCTCTTTGTTACATAATGAACCCCCCCAAATAATCATGAGACAGCAGCAGGAGGAAACAATTACAGCTTTCACCTCTTAAACCTTTGATGACTGATACCGAGGACTGCTAATACAGCAATGCCCTCCCGAGAATCTCTCCTCACATGATGAGTGCATTCCTTATTATAGTCAGCCTCCCCCACATAGAACACGTAGCGCAGGAACAAACACACACTCCTGTATACGCACCGTAACACGAGAGGACCAATGAGGAGAACATATGATGACAGAGAATCATTTTTAGTCACGTATCACAAGATTCAGAGTGTGATCCAGAGAGTCGGTTATCCTCCGCCAACCCAGGACTCAGGGGGAATCCGGGGTACATGGTGTCCGAGGTTGTTCGCTGCTAAAACAAATGTCAATTTAAAAAAATCTGGCACTCATTTTCTTAAAATGTGTCTGAAAAACTGTCCATAATTAAATGTATCAGTATATATGTGTTTTCACTGTATCACAATGCCCTTTTTTTAAGTTACCATGCTGCCATTTATGTGCTTAAAATCTACACTGTGTTTCATAAAGGCATAATATTCAATATTTTTGAAACTGCTAATCAGATCAACGTCCTCATTTCCTGTGGTTCCTGACTGCTACTGTACCTCTCACTGCCATCTGGTTTTGTACAAATCTAGGCCTCTTTCTCTACCGAGTGCAGCACTGATTAATTTATAATCCGTCCACGTTGGCATGCGAGTTAGTCAGGAATATAACAAGCAGCCTGCCACCTCTGGGTAACCCCTCTTCATCAGGATTCAGTCCTTGTTTCTCAGTTTCTTCCCATCGCCGCTACTTTTTTTTTTTTTTTGTCCTCACACGTGCACACAACAGTAGCCGTGCCAGGTTTGTTCTGTGCTTCTTCCATACGGTACGAAGAGTAGCCCTCCGCTGTGCCAACATTGGCTTTTGGCCAGTTTGCTAAAGGTGCCAGCATGGGATTGGAGCCAGTTTACAAAAGGTCAACATACCCCAGACAGGATCAAGTGACTTCTACTGAACTACAGTGTCACTCAAGCTGCCACTTTATCGCTGCACAGTGTCGCGCAGTGAAACCCTTCTGCTTGTGGCGAGACTCGCTGATAATATGTTCGTGGCATCCAGGGTGCCAAAATGAAAATTAAGACAATGTCTGTCAAGTTGTAAAGTGCATTGTGTCATCAGCTCAGTTTCTGACAAGAATGTGATCCTTTATCTTTTTCAGTAGCGTGTAATTTTGTATTTTTCTTTAATCCGTCTTAGGGTTGGATCTGGCTTCATGCTGGCTTCTGCTTCTCTTGTCTTGTCCTCAACACATGCCACAGTGATGGATGGAAGACACAGGTGTACGTAAAAAGTAACAGACATACAATAAGTCATTCACACTTAAAAACACATGTAGTACATATATATATATGTATCTGCACTGGATATAGCCAAGAGTTACATAATCAAAACTTCCCTTTAAATATACGTTTGACATTTAAATAAATGCTATCTCGCTCACTCGTGCTTTTCAGCTTGTCTATAATGTACTGCTACTTCATTTGCTGCACACATCTGCTGTAATCATTCGCTCATTTGTATATTACCAGATGGAGCTAATATTTTCAATGTGTGATGCCAAACAGTATCCTTAAAATCTCCGCTCCTGTCAGCAGGCACTAAAATTAAATGACTGCTGGGAGACAGAAGAGGCAGGGATAGGAGCATTTATTCACTTTGAAGACATGCCGCTAAGGTTCAAACGGTTCGCTTATCTGATGATCAACATGTAATACCCCTGAAAAAAAAAAAAATCTAAAATCACATGAAAGAAGTGTTTGATTTTTATATATTTTTTAATTCCTACATTTATGCCCTTCAAACGTCGTGATCATGTCAGCCGTTTCCCTTCCAACAAGTTCCTCGATGGCTAAATAATCTCTATGACAATCTGCAAGAACAGACTTCCATTCCATTAGTCTGTGAAGGGTGTCATCTAAGGGACAGGGAGATATCTCATAAGTCATGCTGAAAGAGTCTGAGAATTATGGAAAAACTAGTAACATGGCCTTTTCCCAGTTAGATAAAATGCCAAATATAGACCTTGTCTGCACTGAAGTTGAACACGCCATCCATCCATTAGGGATATCTTGCTCTATCCCAGCAGACAATCATACACACTTACACATTTAAAGTCAATTTAGGATCACTTATTAACCTAAAAAGCACATGTTTGGGCTGTGGGAAGAAGCTGGACCACCCACACATGCAAGAACAACAAGAGAACATGCAACACAGAAAGACTCCAACCGATCAGCAGGTTGAACCCGTCGTCTTCCTGCTATGAATCGACAGTGCACACAATCACAGAGCAAACCCAATCTGTAACATATTGCATGCAAACAATCAAAAATTAATCAAAATTTCTGAATGAAACTTTATGTTGTGTATACAGAAGACCTCCCAAAGACTTTTCTTCAGTCACCTGAATTTCTTTTATTAAAGAAAATCAAGGACAGTCACTTTGTTCCTTTAGGTAACATGGTATTGGGCCCATAACACACAGCAAATCATACACATAAACACTAAATCTGTGTTAACAGAGACATTCAACCACAGGTGAATAATAGTGATTTTCTTTTTAAAATGTACTTTTATTTAATTATGAGTGTGTAATTGCCTAAACGGTTCATTTAATTAGCAAAACAAAACCAACTTCAAAGACCATTTTTAAAGGCCACGAGACAATAATGGAAAAATATTACTGTGATACACCAATTTCTGTTTCCATTTTTCCTCTTTTTTTTCTCAAACAAAGAAACACTTTTTGATTGAACTGGTGGACAAATGCATGAGCTTTCACAAGCCAAAAAACGTTGGAAACCACCGCACGAATTCACTTAAGATCTGGAAAAAACTATCACAAATAAGAATGCACAACCAAACACACTTTTAGCACTGCGTATGGCATTTTGTGTTTTATTAGATGTGTTAATCCAGCTACTTGTCATCACCCAATTATTATCTCACCAGGTTGAATTTACAGTATGAGGATATGACATACGGATGCGACACACAGCGCTCTTCAACTCATCCCACCATCACCTTTTTCACCGTCACCTGGTGTCTCTTCCACTTATAAAACCACCAACACACAGAAAATAGGTAGAGAGCAAAGAATGCTGGGAAATCATAGAGGAAAACAATGACAAAGAATCCGCCGACTAGCAGGGCGCAGATTAGAAGTCTGGTGACGTGACTGAGGACGTATAATAAACTCCACCATACGAGACCGTCGGACTCTTTTAATTTCTCAGAGGAAGAACTGGGATGTTTGTGAGATGGGTGGGCCGATCGATTAAAACTCTCTTTGTGGGCGACTACACAGTCTTCTATTTGTCTAGCTGTCTCCTGACGAGTGACTGATCTTTCTTTTATTTGAGAGTAGTGTTCCTGATCCGTCGGAGAGCCGAGAGCTGATTCAGTCAATGGCTGAACGCGAGGAGCGGCTAAAGTGGCGGCTAAGTCTTGACTAAAATGAGCACTTGAATTCAAATCTGTCTGTAATTTAGAGGGAAGGGGAATTTGCTCTGTTGTGGTAAGTGGATCGCTTCTCACCTCTGGAGAGAAGTCATTGGCTTCAGTCACTAAGGTTTGCTCTAGGACTTGACAGAGACTTAAATTTGGATCTGTTGGTTGGTCTGTCAAGGAAAATACACCTGAATCAAAAGCGTCATTCTCATAAAGAAGGTGGCTGTCTTCCATCAGCCCCAGTCCACCAACAGTATTAGCGTCCCTTTCAGCGACTTGCACCTCTTGACCGAAGACCTCTTCCCAAATCCTTCTGACCAGATCTTCTCCAAATCTTTCTGCAAACAGTCCCGACTCCATCGCTTCAAGTGATCCAGCCTTTTCTCCTGTAATAGAGTCTTTTGTTCCATCTGACAGTTTTTTACATTCAACACGTGGAGAGCTCTCAACTTCTGGTGACACCTCTCTCAATCCAGCCGGTGCATTCTTCCTCTCCCCCCGAGGGCTCTCCACTTTACCCATCAGCACCCTCATCGCGTCTATTTTCAGCTCTCCAATACTCACCCTCTCCTCTTTGTCTTCCTGACTCATACCTTCTTCTGCTCTCTCTGGTTGATGTTTCGTTGAAGTGTCTTCCTTTGCAACGTTCTCCTTTGCTGTTACTCCTTCTGGGTTTATTTCACCACCTACCTCCTCTTTCTGACCCTTCACGTCTTCTTGCGAGTGAGTCCATCTCGGCTCAACCGCCTTCAAGGGCTTTGGGTTGCATGTATCTGTTGGACCATGTCTGATTCTGTCGTGGTCACTTTGGGGAACTTCTGATTCCAATGTTGTCCAAGTTGATGGGTTTATTTGTTGCTGTTCCTTAATTTTTCTGTCACAAGTCAAGCTTTTTCCCTCTGGTTCACCTGCTTCAGATTTCAGTACACTTTCCTCTGTTTGTCCTGACTGCTCCCTCCTCTGAATGTAGAGCTCTTCACCTGCTTGGTTCGACTGTTTATCACGTCCTTCCAAGGTTATTGATGCGCTACCCATCTGCCGTGATGAATTCAGCTGTAAAGCTTGCTCATCTAATACCTGGATGACTTCCACGCTTGCACTAATTATTCTCTTCGTTTCTCCTCTTGCTGTACAGGTTTCCGCCTCCGTTTCTTCCAGCGCTTGAACACCTTCCTTCAGTTCAGTTGCCATGATGTTATTTTCCTCTAAATTTTCCTCACACGTTTGCTTTGGATCAAATCCATCTGCATGTGACTGTGCAGGTCTTATTTCATTTTCCCCACACTGACTTTCCTGTAATGGATTTTCACTGTTTTGGCTCTCACACTGCATTTCATCTCCACACCTTTGGGAGATTTCACGCTCTTGAGTTTTCTGCGGCCTAAATATCACCTCGTCTGTATTCTCTGCTTTATTTTGCTTATAGTTTGCCGTGATCTCTTCCTCCTCTCCTTGTCTGGATGTGGAATAGACATACCTCGCCCCATCCTTTGTCCCCTGTCTGATTGTCTCCCTAAATGCCAGCATGTCATCTATGGCATTGTGTGCAGTACCTGTAACCTCCCCTTCCTCGCTGGAAGAAAGACCCTCATCCAGCCTGGCTCCCTGTGAGATCCTATCAACGGCGCTGGCATTCTGAGACTCTGGCATTGCTGTCATGTCTGTTGTCTCCGACTCCCCTGAGCTTGTTACTAAGTCAGCTGTGTGCGATGTGAAGGGCTCATCTCCTCGGCTTCCATCTGCTCCTCCTATTATTCCTTCTCTTTCTCGCTCCCGGACCGCATGCTCGCGACACTCGGCTGAACTGTCAACAGAGTGCTCGGACACAGGCGGTGCCCCCTCGAGGTTAAATTCCTGCGAAGTGTCTTTTACAGAGTTTGTCTGTGACCTTTGGGATGCAGCGTGTGTCGCTGTGTTGTCATCTCCGGGGCTGCTGACACACGCCTCTGCTGGCTGCTGGTCTTCAGCGTTCAAGGCGACATTAGCCGGCAGTGTGTCAGACAGCGGCTGACATGCAGCTAAGGTGTACGCATGTAAGGTGGTGGGTGTAGTTGTGCCCACTTGAAATTCTGGAAACTCTTGACTGCTTGCTGCATATTGGATTTGGGGCTCCTTATCACTTGAGGGAGACACCGACGCTGCTGTCTGCAGCCACACTGACTCCGGAACACCAGAAAGGTCCCTACAGCTCGGCCCATTAAGAAAATCCTGCCATACATTGCACTCGGAGGTTTCTTTTTTGTTGGTATTACCTGCACCGTTAAGAAAGGTCTCCCACATATCATTAACCGACCGTGTATTCTCTTCTGACGCTTTTGACAAGGTCATTTTAGCTGTTCCAGTCCAGATGTCATCCACATCAGCAGTCCCCAACTGCTGCGGTTTGTCACTGTTCCAGTCAAGTGTGAGCAGAGGAATCTGATGGTAGGTGAGGACCTGTGGACTCTCGTTTGGTTGAGTCTTTTGGCATTTATAGAGAAAGCCGGCAGAGTAGCCCCACGGAGCCGGCGTGGACCGAGACGCTTTCTGGCCGTTAGCTGAGGCATGTGGAGAAAGCTTTCGTGCCTGCTGCTTCCTTTGGGAGAGCTGGTCCTGCACACGTGCCGAACGTGTTGATTTGTGCCTGCTTTTTATGCTTTCCACCTGTCAAAAAGGCCAAAGGGTCAAAAGTCAAGTCGAGTGTTTGCTTGAACTCGTTGAACTACAACCAGAGGCTCTTTGCACAGTGTTTGAAGTCATCAGCTCTGTGAAATACTTGCTTGATGACAGACAATTAGTTTAATGCACCATTCACTGAGTATTTATTTATTTTTTCTGACATGACTGTAATGATGCAACGCACTGCAACACGGCTGCAACCTCAGCACATCGGCCTATTTTTGTTTACATTATCAATTTTCGGGCATGTTTACAAGCAGGTCGCATTTATTATTAATGGTCTGTACGTGAGTGATTGCAGGCGTGTTCTCAAGTGTCAGGTCAGCTGACATATCCTCTGCTCCATATCCTTCTGGGACTCAATCAGCACTGTGCAGTGTGACATGCAAGTCTGACTCAGTATATATTCATAATTGTGCAGAAGAAATACATGTACTTTTGCAAGACAAGTACAAACTACGGTTTCGTGTCCACACAGCATGAGACCAGCATTTAGCTATCTATTGCTCGCAGTTTCATGTTTTCCCAGGCTTCAAGAGAGGAGATAATAAATGAACCTCACCAAAGGTTTGTGTTCGTCACGGTATAAGAACGATCGCAGCTTTATGCTGTTCACCGTCTTTCTGTCAGCCTTTTCTGCTTTATGTGTTGGTTCTACCTCTGCCAAAAAACAACAGAGACAAAGGTCAAAGTTTTCTTGCACGCTTGTACACTTAAACAAACACACAGTCGTGCACATGCGCACACGTGAAATGTTGCGTATACACACCTGCAGCAGCTGTTGCCATGCTACAAGTTTCTCTGGTCTTTTCCTCTGCACCTCCGCCCCTGTGGTTCAAAATAAAGAAAGTGATACCGTAACATGCTGTTACACAATTATTAAAATACAACCACAGTATTTATGATTTCTTTATTATCTGTTGCATTGTGAAGTGGTTATATAAAAAAAAAAAACTGTGTTGCTCATAGTGTCTCTGAGCTTGTAATGCTTTTTCTTCTACATCTGCAATACATCAGAGAAAGCAGGTCAGAGCTTCCACTTAGTCTGCTTTATTAAAGAGACATCCTGCACAAGCTCTGGCCTCTGCTACGACTGTGACACACAACAGTAGGTGTACACAAAATGGGTATTATGCTTGTGCACACAGCATGTTGCCAGGAGCCTTAGAAAATTGAAATATGTTTGTCTGCTGCGTTATCAAATTTCTAGCTTTTGTGGCGCAGCTAGAACATGTGCGCATACGTAAAAAAGGAGCTGCCGTTCCTCAAGCATGAAAGAGGGTTTTGTAGATTGGTGTCAAAGAGGATAAAGTGAGCATATCGGCCTGAGACGTCATGGAAACCTGTACAGACAGCTGACCATAAATGGGCAATATGCGCTCTGAATAGTTACATAAGGGCTTACTGTAAACACACAATGGCCCACCTAGCTGGGTTTATTACTTTCAACTTCACTTAATGAGAAGAGCAGCGCAGTGTAAACACACCACTCATACTGTGTCAAATCTCTAATGTTGCTCCCACAGCAACTGATGGGGCCTTTTCTTGACTTCTGCTGGATTTGTGCCAAGCAGTCACGGAAAGAAGCATGATAAAATATACCCTTTAGGATCCAAACTTCCAGTTTTTGTTTTTTTTAGAGCATTAATTCCAACATCTATTGTTGACACACGAGGGTAACGTGGCTTCCTCCGGCAGAGGCATGTTTAAAAAAAGACCCAGCGTCAGATTCTCTCACCTGTTAGCTTTGAGACAGCTCCTCTTGCTCTTGTAGCCGCTGCTCTCCTCTTGCATTTGAGGCTCCTTTACGTGTCCTTTTTGGTGGCAGAACAGCACATAGTTAAGTCCCTTGTTGTTCGCCCAGAATGTGCCCGTTGAAGTTTCATAACGGAGACAGAACTCCACTCTGGTCCCGTCTCTCTCGCAGGGAGGAACTACAGTGTATCTGAAGGTAAACCTGTCTGTTTTCCAGTCGCTGGATCCGGGCACGTACTCTGCCAGCAGGTCGAAGTAGCTGTTCCAGCGATCCAGAGTGATCCGGGCGTAAACGCACTTACTGTAGCAGAGGTTGACCACTCTGATGATGCCACGGAGCGTCGTGGTTCCTGGGAGAAGCTCAATGCTCTCCAGCTCGACCTTTTGTGCCTGCAGCCTCTGGTCCAGCTCCTCTTGGGATGAGGGGACTGTAAACAGACAACTTATGTAGAACTCCTCCGATGAATGGGCCACCTCCCTCTCGCCGGACCGGCTGACCTCTGACTCTGCCACCTCGGCGTTGTCAAACTCTTTAACAGACACCAAGTTGAGGCCGAACGCATCTGCAAAGGACACCTTCCTGCGAATAACCAGCGGGGGTTCTGGTTCCGAATCCTCATCTGTTTCCTCGTCTGTGGTGGAAGTTGAGGCCTCCGGTCCGACCTCATCCGGATCCCCAATTTTCCCCAGTTCTTCCCTCATCACCCCCGTCTCCTCCATGGGTTGGACACACAGAGCCTCCATAATGCAGGCTGGTCGGAGAGGCAGCTGTCTGCGTGTCCTGCCGTCTGTCTGGCTTGGAGGGTGGCACAGACCAGAGTGCCCCTAGCCTGGCTGCAGTGATACTGTAGAGGGGAGAGCAGGGAGAGGACGTGACTTGACAGATGGAGTTCGGTTACAGCTGAACATTGTGAGTCTGAGCCAGGCCTATTAATAGGACATATATAACTAGACCAGAGCTGGCCGCTTATCCCTTCAGTTATCCTCTCACAATATGTTTGCTAGTTACAAAATAAATAAAAGTAGCTTTGATGAAGCACTTTAATGGGAAACCAGCTCACAGAATGTCTATATTGAAAGTATGCTGATACTTTAATTGTATAAACTATCCAAGCTAACAAATACCACTTTATTATCTTTGTGGCTTAGTAAGCACATTACTAAATGATTAAAATGTGATTTTAGATTTGAGTTTGATGATATGATACAGTGTCTTTTGGTCTGCATGGAGGGGACTTACAATGCGACACAAAGTTTGCATTTTTAAACCACTCCAAAGTGCTCACATATCTGTAAACTGAAACTTTACCTGCTAGCTGACACCTTATGCTGTATCTCTGCTTTCTCTGGTACATTGTGAATTGGTTGCTTATCATTTTAGTAAACTGTGATCAATCCTGTGCACATAAATATACAGCATCTTTTAAGATTAGCAAATGGAAAGTGAGCTATTTTCTCAAGCATGTACCCTATAGCAAAAACCAAAACCCAACCCCCCACAAACAATTTAATCAGTTATTGTTTAATCAGTCGAAATGTAGCAGGATGCAGCTGTAAGACATTACATTTCATTGCCAGTTTGTAGTATTTACATGAGCTGCAACAGGATGCTGGAGTGACTCGGTCCACTATTCAAGGGCCACAGTTGTACCATTTGTGTCGACAAGCGTCTCCCCTGCCGAAGTGTCCTCTTGCAAGGCGGCATCGTCCGACCCTCTGCTGGGGATCCGACCGCTGACCCCCACGTGGAGCAAAGGAAATGAGAGAATTTCCAACATTGCCATCAATAATGTATCAAATTATTATTGGTTCCATTACCGCGCTTGGAAGGCCTTTGTTGTTTGAGTATCTGCAGATCCTCTCGTATCATTGCCATTAGAGGCAGCCTTAATTTTTGAGGTTCACTGCATCCTGGAACTGAAGACTGAGCATTATTATGTTCCCCTTAGCGGATTGGACTCTCTCTTTGTGTGTGTGTGTGTGTGTGTGTGTGTGTGTGTGTGCACTTGTCCAGCTGTATTTGTGAGAACCAGTTTGAATTTAGGCCACTGGGGTGAGAATGTTTGGGAAAAGTGAGCTGGTCCTCCTTGTTCTCACACATGTAAAACTGCTATTTGGGTTTTAGAATGGAGTTTACACTTAGTCAGAATATGATGGTTACAGAGAGGTTAAATGAATGCACCATGCCAATAAATGTCCTCACAAAGACAGCCATACAAATGTATGTGTGTGTGTGTTTGTGCGTCCACACAAAAACATCTCAGATAGGAAGTTTAATTCAACTAATCCTTGATTTGCAGCGTAACTCAACCCCCAAATCCAGTATATCTTGTAAACAGACTTTAGTGCTTGTAATACAATCCTGCACTGCTAGGTGAGTGGGCTTTTTTTTGTCCTCAAAAGGACCCTTTGTTCTGCATTTTGAAGCCAAATAGGTTCTCTTTTGACTTTTAATTGCACTTTTGGTAATTAAATTGCAACTTTTGAAAAAGCAACCACATGAATCTGCGTTAAAATGCTGTGTATTAGTAGTTAGTTGCAATAATTAAAAACACTCAGCAGCAAATGCAAACATTCAGCATTGCTAGAAATAACTTACAAACACAGAACAAGTTGTATGTCTAAGGAATATCAGTAGATGGCACTATGTGATCAAAGTAAAATTCATGTCAGCTCAGCCTCCATCTAAGAGAAATGAATCTGTATATTGTGGTAACACTTCTTTTGTGATGATGAGCTCCAAGTGTATGGATCATGTTTAAGAAAAGTCCCTTAATATAGAGGAAAAAGTAAGATTCTCAAATGTTATTTACAGTTCATTGACAGTAAGATATTAGATAGAATATTCTAAAAAATAAATAAATAAATAAACAAAAGGCCAGTAGGTGGCAGCAGACCACCACCACAATTCCATCCCACTTGTTTTCCCTTCATAGCTTCATCATTTTCCAGATGCTGTTTCCTTTTTACTTCAATTTGATGGAATTTTTAAATACTAATAAGGATTTGTAAGACCAACAAAAGCACAAAATAGGACTGAGTTTATTAAATGTCAGGCAGTGTGACATGAATGTCCAGACTTTCAAATGGAACAATCAATGGATTTCACCAACATCAAAAAGGAAATTGACTTTTAAATGTGAATAATTTCATAAATGAAAGACAGTTTTAGGACTGAATACACTTCATGAAACCGGTGCTGGGTATTCCGTGTGTGCTTTACAGTTTTGTTTTGTTATTTTTACAAATCCTGGGGGGAAAAAATCGGTTCATATTAATATGAATAATAATAACTAACTCGAAGATGTCAAGTATTTAAGGTGTTTAACCAACACATCTTTTTTATTAATATATTTTAAATTCACATTGGCATACAGAGTAACACACACATTCTACAATTTGCGATTCTTTGAATTAAAAAAATTAAAAAAATAAAAAACGCATGCATAAGATGACGTTTCTCCCAATCAGTTATTCACAATATAAAAAACGTAAAATCTATCATTTTAAAACGTTGCCAATAGAGAGAAAGATACACTCGTCGCCGTTCTTATGAGGAAGTGCAAACCCTACCCTTTTCTTTTTCAGTTGATAACATTCATTTCTTCTTGACCGTGAAACGAGAGGAAGAAGAAAAAAAGAAAAGACGAGACAGAAGAAAGCAAATCATTTTAACTGCTGCTCAGTGTGTGACAAGCTTCGGATCTACTGTTAGATGAATAAACAGGCGAAATTACGCTGTGAAGCTTTGACAGAATAGGTAATAAAAAGTCCCTTCAGTCAAACAATCCTGTTATATCTTGTTTTTATTATAAAGCATTGGTTGGGAAGTGGTTTTATTTGATGGGTTTTTAGATTATACATACGATGTACAGTCTAAACTTAAACACGTTAACATTTGAATACATAAATGCGGATTTTAATAACAATAATAATACTTTTAGCAGTGTATACGTCACATATGTTTACCATCATTTTCTTTATGCAAACACATCTATAGGCGACTATCACAAAGTATTTATGTATAAATATGTGTTTGCACTTAATGAGGTGAAATGTATTTAAAGATGATATTACTGACATGAAGAAGTGAGGTCTATTTTGGTTTATGATGATGCACAAATACAAACATTTGCACCGATTTTCACAATTGTATATTTTCTCTAATGTGGAATAATTAAAGTTTTAGAATATTTATTGCACAAAAAGGAAATAATAATAATAAAAAACATTAAGAAAGAGCGAGCTGCAGCAGAAAAAGTGGATGTTTTGTTGAAATGTGATACGCAATACACGCTATATAGAGATTTAAAAAATATATAAAAAATTCTGTATAGTTTCTACTAAAGCACGTGAACTTTAGTTTCCGTCGGGAGGAAAAGCGTCCCGTTACCGGAAGGTTCAATTCCGGAAAACAACAACAGCAAAAACAAAAACGTAGTGGACGCTTGTATCTCCGGTGGTTACACAGCAAAAACACCGCGGGAAAAAAAACCCTGCAAAAAAACAAAACAAAAAAACTTTTCTTTAGGAAAATAAAAAATAAAAATTACTTTTTGTTTACATAGCAGGTGGCCCTGACGTCACACGGGGTCGCAGTACGCCCAAAAATAACAAACACACCTCCGCGCACAAGCAAGTGCCTCCCCTGGGGGTGAGTGTTGGGGGGGTGGAGGGGGGGGTTTCTAGTCCCAAATATACTTCTTGCTTGCTTGCTTGCTTGCTGGCTTGGTGTGTGTGTTTGAACCGAAAAAAAAAGAGAAGAGGAAAAAAAAAAAAAAAAAAAACAAGAAGCCGCTTCTTCTTCTTCTTCTTCTTCTTCCTCGCATTGCGCGTCATTCAAACAGGACTCAGTGCTTTTCCCTCTGTTGCATTAGTAATAACAGCGGCGTTGACGGGAGACAGCAGCAGGAGAAAAGTGTGTGTGTGTCTCCTGAAAACAGCGGGTTTGCCCAGCGGAGGAATATTCCAGCTTCTTCTTCTTCTTCTTGTTTTTTTTTTTTTTTTTTTTTTTTCTTGGTAATTTACTCTGCAGCAGCTTGTTGTTCATTTTTCTCCTGCGTTATGGTGAACTTGGACAGTCACGTGCGAACATCTCCGCGAGCGTAGAGGACTTCTCACCTGGTGTGTGTGTCCCCTTTGACTTTTTTTTTTTTTTTTCCCTTCCTTCCTTCTTCTTCTAAACAGCGTGAGGGAAATATACCTGCCGTGTTTTCTGCTGGTAAGTTTTTTTTTTTTTGTCAACCCAAGGAGCTTCGGCACCCTTTGACTTTTTTTTTGTTGTTGTTGTTGTTTTGTTTTCCACCTCTCCTCTCCGTCACACTTGTATTAGGAAGTGCACCGCCGGTCACAAGTTTTTTTTGTGTTAGCTTGACATGCTACATAATTATTTACACGGTGCTTCAGGTGCTTTTATTTCTCTAAATTAGCATTGACAGCATTCGGACGCCGGACTTTCCAATACCTCACTTATTGTCTCATATTGTTAAAACTCGGAGTCTAAAACGTGGAATATGAATTTTATTTACCAACACCTCATTTACTCTGCTCGAAAACGAGTCAAAAATATGCATATTATATTCAGCCAAATTCACAATACCACAATGTTGCATCTACTTGAATGTAAAGCTATTTCACTACCTGCTGTAATTTATTGCCTGTGTTCCTGTAATTTATATTACAACTTGTCATGTCAAATTTTAAATCCTAATTCCCATATTTAACAACTAAGCAAGGCTTGTTGCAGTTTTTCCAATAAATTCCTTCAGTGGTGTTGTCACCTGTCACACAAAGGAGCTGCATATAGTTTTAAAAAGCATGTTTTTTATTTTTTTTTAAAAGTCACTCTTTCCTAAACTCATGCTATCCACAGGAGAGACAACAAAAAAAAAAACAATTAGATTTAAAGGTTAATGACCAGTGCTTCATCTGCACGACTTCTATCTGCATCTTCAGTATCTACGATTGTCAGCACTCTTACCGTAGTTGCATGCTCCATTTTTATATTCCGTCTTTCTCGTTGTCCAGAAACAAACCAGGGATGCTGGTGGCACATTAGTTTTCGTCATGATTAAGCTACAACTCAAGCTC